GTAAATGAAAGACCTTCCAAGATAAGAGAATCTGAGGAAATTCAAGACCTTAGATGAGTCTCACAAAAGATGCTCCAGTAAATTCTATTTCCAGAAGTGAAAGAGAGGTAATTATTATCTCCCTAGTAGCATTAGCGATAATCATGATGAATTTCCATACCTCACTCTCACCAATGGATCGATCATCCATTGTTAAACTATCATCAGAGTTAAACTATACTATAGATCAAGTGGATGCAATAGGCATTTACAGAACATGCCATCCAACAGCTGCAGCATTCTTTCCACTAATGCATGGAACTTTTTCAGGAATAAAGTATAATTAGGCTCACACCTAATCCTAACAAATACAAAAAAATTGAAACCACATCCTGCATTTCTTCTGATAACAATGGAATGAAACTAGGTATCGGCAACAAGAGAAACTATAGAAACAATGGGATGGAGACTCAGTGATACACTTTGAATAAACACTGAATCATTAAGGATATCAGAAGGAAATTTAAAAGTTTCTTGAAACAGATGAAAATAGAAACAACATACTAAAGCCTCAGGTTGCAGCAAAAAGTATATTAGGTGGGATGTTAATAGCAATGAATGCCTACAGTAAAAGTACAGCACTAGGGGGCTTGGGATTTAGCTCAGCGGCATAAACACCTGCCTAGCAAGCAGGCGGTTGTGAGATTGATCCTGGTACAGGTAAAAAGATACAAAAGATTAAAAAAAAAAAAAGGAAAAATACAGCGCTGGACATGGTATGACCTGTAGTCCCAACTGCTTGTGAGCTAAGGTGGGAGGATCCCTTCATCCTGGGCTGTGTAGTGAGAGCTGTCTCACAAAAAAGGGAAAGAAAAAGAAAAAAATTCTTTTTCATTTTTATTGGTACCAGGGATCGAACTCATGACTTGCAAGGAAGGCGCTTATGCCACTGAAAAAAAGATTTCAAATAATCGAAAGATCCCTCTTGAGGATTTAGAAAAGCAAGAGCAAACCAAACCCAAATTTAGTAGAAAGAGATAAAAGATCAATGAATACAGTTGATTCAGTGAAAAGATAAAATTGAAAAATATTTAGCTAGAGTAACCAAAAGATAAAAAGAAGTCCCAAATAAAACAAAATTAGAGATGAAAATGGAAACATTACAACTGGTACTATATAAATTCAAAGGATAATTGGGGGATTATTTTGATTATATGCTAACAAATGGGGAAATCTAGAATAAATTTTCAGACACACAACCTATCAAAATTGAACCAAGGGGATACAAAAACCCTGAATATACCAATAATAAGAGATTGGATCAGTAATAAAAATTCTAACAAAGAAAAATCCAGGGCCAGATGGCTTTACTGTTAAGTTGTATCAAATGTGAAAAGAACTAATTAATACCAGTGCTTCTCAAACTATTTAACACAAGTGAAAGGTGAGAATCCTTCCAAACTGATTCTGTGAGGCTAGCATTATCTTGTCAAGGATACAGTAACAATGACAAAAATAAAAAGGAAAAAGAAAAAGCAAAAAGAAAGAGGCCAATATCCCTACTAAACATAAATGCAAAAGCCCTCAACAAAACACTGACAAATTTACTTCAGGAACACATCAAAAATATCACACAACATGTTCAAATTAGTTTCATCACATAAATTGAGTGCTGGATAGAAGCAAATTATCATCTCAATAAATGAAGAAAAAACACTTGAAAAAATTTGACATCCCTTCAATGATATAAGCCCTCAACAAACTGTATAGGAATATCAGACCTCAACATAATACATGACAAATCCATAGCCAGCAATACTGAGCGGGGGAAAAACTGAAAGCGTTTTATGTAAAATCAGGAATGAAACGAGGGGGTCGACTCCCTACTCTTACCCAATTTGTACTAGAAATTTTAGCTACAGCAGTTCCACAAAAGAAAGAAGAGACACTGTGACTAGACAGGAGGAAGCACAGTTATCACCACTTGCATAATATTGTTCTATACATAGAAAAAAAGGCCACCAAAAGACAGGTGAAGTATCAGGATACAAAATCAACATCCAAAAACAAGTAGATTTTCTGTACACCAATAATGAATGGGCTAGGAAGTCATGAAAGCAGTCCCATTCATAATAGGAACAAACAAAGCAAAAGATAAAACCAACAAACAGAAAGAACAATAACAAGATAAACAGAAAAACCCTAGGAGTAAACTTTCAATAAGGAGTTGAAAAACTCAATGAAACTGACAAAATACTGATGAAAAATCCTGAAGACCCTAACTGCTGGGAAGGCCTCTATTCATGGAGGGGGAGAATTAGACTGTTAAGTCCATACTCCCCAGAGCGGTCCAAAGGTTCAATGCAGTCCTTGTCAAGGTACAGTGACATTTTACACAGAATCAGAAAAAACAACTTTCAATTCATATGGAAACACACAAGACCTCAAATAACCACAGCAATCTTAAGCAAAAAGAACCAACTTAGAGCATCACAATACTTAAGATGTATATGAGCCAAAGTAACAACAACAAAAAGCACTGACATAAAAACAGACAGAAAGACCAGTGAAGCAGCATGGAAAATCCAGAAACAAAACCACTCATCTATAGTCAATTGATTCTTGAGAAAGGCCCCCAAAAGATATATTAGACAAAAGACAGCCTCTTCAAAAATGGTGCTCGGGAAAAGGGATATCTAAGTGCAGAAGTCAAAAACTTGACCCCTACTTCTTAGCCTGCACTACACTGTCTCACTAAAGATTGAAAAGTGTAACGTAAGAGCTGAAATGCTGAAACTACTTGAAAATGTGGGGTCAACATACCAGGAGCACAGGAAACAGAATCAAAAACTTCAGGAGTGAGATTTACATCAAACTAAAATGCTCCTACACAGCAAAGACAATAATCAATAAGGAGATAACTTATAGATTAGTAGAAATTGTCAGCTATCCATCTGACAGAGGGTCAATATCCAGAATATATAAAGAACTACACAGTATAATATAAAACAAAGTAACCTCATTTACAAATGGGCACGAGGGGGCTGGGGATTTAGCTCAGCGGCATAAGTGCCTGCCTTGCAAGCAGGCAGTCATGAGTTCGATCCCTGGTACCGATAAAAACAAAAACAAAAACAACAACAACAACAACAACAAAAATGGGCACATGATCCAAATAGACATTTTTAAAAAGAAGAAATACAGCCAGGCGTAGTGGCGTATGCCTGCATCCAGCACTCAGGAGGCTGAGGCAGGAGGATCGTTGTCAGTTCGAGACCAGCCTGGGCTACAAAGTGAGCTCAAGGCCAGCCTGAACTGCATAGCAAGATCCTGTCTCAAAAACACAAATAAATAAATAAATAAATAAAAACCCAACAACAATAACGAATGTTGTGAGGATATGGAGAAAAAAGTTTATACACTGTTTATGGGAATGTAAATTAGAGAGCCACTATGGAAATAGTATGGAGGTTTTTCAGGAAACTAACAGTGGAACTGTCACATGACCTATCTAATTCACCCCAGGGCATATATTCAAAGGCAACAAAGCCAGCAAACGAAAAGATTCCTGTCGCACGTTTCTGGTGACACTGTACACAATAGTTAAGACAAAAATCAGCCCAGGGCCCATCGACAAAAAGCATACAAAAATATAGCACCTATATACAAAGGAATATTATTTGGCCATAAAGACAAATAAAACCCTGTTATTTACATAAAAATAGATGGAACCTGAGGACATAATATTAAACAAAATAAACCAGACACAGAAAGACAATACAAGTCTTCTCTGTGGAAACTGATAAACAAAACAACAAAAACAAAAATTCCACAATGAGTGATTATTAGAGACTGGAAAGGATACTAGATCGAGGAGAAGGGAGAAAAAGTAGGAGGAGGAGGATGGATGTGCACTCTGCACACTGTGTGCCTGTGTGGAACTGTGAATCCCATTAACAACGTACGATTGTGCATTAAATGCCCACATTCTCCAGAAACCAAAAGTTAAACAAGAATTAAATTACATTAATTTCCAGGGTTGTAATCCAAGTTAATGATAGACAACCTGGAGCAAACTTTCACTCCTCCTTTGTTTGATGTTTTAACCCCCCCCCCCTTTCGCTTTCCCTCTGCCCTGTATCAGGTACACTGAGAAGCCTAGATGCTCCTTTGACACCAGGGATGTTTTCAAACCACACACGCTCCTTCCTGCAAACTCTGGAGATGCTCTGACCAGAAGGAGCCCTCCAGCTGGCTCTTTCCCATGTTCTCTAGAAGCCACAGGATGCAAACAACACTCCTCTCTTATGTTCGTGGGGTCTGTGTGGTGTTTCCTGTCTCAGCATCTAAAACCAAATTTTGTGGGTGGGGGTTGGTAGTCCAGTTTCTTTCTGCAGCAGGGCCATGACAAAACTATTTAGAGAAAAAATAGAAATTATGAACAAGTTACAGAAAAGAAAATGGAGAAAATAATCATAAACAGCTGTGTAATGTCACTAGTAATCATAAAATTCCAATTAAAATAACAAATACTAATTTTGTTGTTATATTGTAAAAAATAAACTGATTAAAATAAAAAGAGACAAGAATGAACAGGCACAGTCATTCTTACACCCTGCTGGAAGAAGAATGTGTTTAATTGTTAGCATTTATTTAAAAGAGCATGTTCTTTGATTCAGGAATGCAACTTCCCATTTTCCTTAGAGAAATGGTTGCACATTTGCAAAGTGAATGTACAAATGTTTGATGCAGTCTACGTTAATATTAAAAGACTGGAGATATTTACTAGTAGGGAAAACTATTTATTAGCAGAAGAATTGTAACAAACTATGGTTTATTGACACTAAGGAATCATTTAGTGAATTAAGAGAATTAGTCACAAGTACAGACACGAGCTGGTAACCTAGGATGCACTAGGTACATGCAACATAGCAGTCTGAAACATAGAAAAAGGCTGGGAAGGGATCACAGCAAGCTAATAACTGATAACTTTGGATAGAAGAAATGACCAAGAGAAATACTTGCTTTATCTCATCTAAATTTATTACATGGCTATTGCAAATATGCATTCATGGGTTATTTGTGTAATGAAAGCATTAAGAATTTGCATAATGGTTATATTCCCAAACCAGTTCACAAAACCATCCTTTGAGCTGTCCATTTGCATTGACAGAAGACAATGTTACTGAGTTGAAAGTCATACAACAGTTGAAAATATTTTAATTTTATTTTTAAATAATTTCAAAACTAAGTAAGTTTCAAGAATAGTGGAAAGAATCCCAGTCAAGTCAAAGTTTCTTAAATTGCTCCAAACTCCAATCCAAGACCACGTGTTGCAGACCATTTGCATTTTCTTTTCTCCTTAAATCTGGATGGAACATTAATCTTTCCTTGACTTTTAGGACATTGAAAATTTTTAATACAAATTTTAAAGAATGTCACTCAATTTAGTTTTTTCCAATATATCCTCTAGATTAGGCCCAGGTTATGTATTTTTCTGGCAGGAATATCACGCAGCTGATGCTATGTTCTTCTTATGGGCAGCACAAGGTGGTAATTTGCTCAATATTGTTGGAGAAACTGATTATTTGATTAAGATAGCGTCTGCCAGGTTTCTCTACTGTAAAAGTACATTTTTTTTTTTTTTTTTGTCTTTTTCCTTTTCATCGGTACCCGGGATCGAACTCACGACTGCCTGCTTGCAAGGCAGGCGCTTATGCCGCTGAGCTATATCCCCAGCCCCGTAAAAGTACATTTTATGATTAACAAACTTTGGGGGGAAAGATATTTTGAGACTATGCAAATCATAGTCTCACTTTACCATGTTAGCTGTAGCATCTAGTAAATCAAAATATTGTTACTCTAGTTACTAAGTGGCAATTTTAAAATTCCATTATCATTTATTGTGTAGCTTTATTTCCTCCTTATTTGTATCAGCATCCATTGTGAGTATTATCATTACTTTCAGTACTTGAATTACTCCTGATTTGGCCTAGGTAGGTAGGTACTTTTAAATTGGCTTGTGCATCTTTTGACATGTCTCCATATTTCTTTGAATACTTTGTTTTCTAGCACAAGATTATGTTTCAGTGTTGAAATCAGCCATTTCTTTAATAATAGAAATTCATGTACTAGTCGTACCTGTTACTTCTGAGGATCAGGGATTTCTCCTATCTTCTTGGTGTTCAGAATTAAGAAATACACATATGTGTACAACACACACATTTATTCTACATATGCATATATGAACTGTGTAGATCTATCTACCTTCTATAATTCTGGAAGTCCAAATTTAGATCCAGTGCTACAGGACTTATTTTTGCTTTCTGCCTTTAAAAGTTTTATTATTTTAAGCTGGGCATGGTGGTGTTTGCCTGTAATTACAGCACTCAGGAGGCCGAAGCAGAAGGATTGCTGAATTTGAGGCCAGCCTGGGCTCCATAATGAGTCCAGGTCAATAGCAAGACACTGTCTCAAAAAAGTTTGATTATTTTAATAACTATATACATATGCAGGATATAATGTGATGTTTCCATATACCTATACATTATGGAATGACTGAATCAGGCTTATTAGCATAGCTATCACAGCAACTATCTTATCATTTCTTTATTGAAAGACATTTTAAAATCCTCTTTTTTAGCTCTTTTGAAATATACACATTGTTGTTAACTTTAGTCACCTGTGCCACAGGACAGCAGAACTTTTGAGTTTTAGCTTTCTCTTTTAATTGTACTTTCTTCTTCAACAATGAGAGACTTCGCTCCCTTACTGTGTGTACTTTTACTCAAGTGGTCAAACCCTGTATGTAGCCACTCCTCTGACACCACGGGGCTCCGATGCAGGCCTCACACTGCACCATTACTGACTGCCTGCATGCTGGCCCTGTCACCTCACCCAACCTTGTCCTCCTGGGTGCTGTCCCTCACCCTGCCATGATGCCGATTAGTCATCGCATGGAGTTCCCATAACCAACCTCATCAGGTGTGGTTGACTTCTTTTCAAATCACAAAAGTCTTTTTTGAAAATAAAACCTGTAGAGGGTTGATCCGAAAATGTAGTTTAAAAAAACATGATCCAATCACTCACAGTAAGCTGTCTTCAACTGCAGGCCTCAGGTTCCCAAGATAGACACCTAAATAAAATCCATCTTCATGTACCACAGCATGGAACGCTGAATGAAAATAGCTGAGATTTCCTTCATGAGCTATGCTTTTTAACTCTTCAGTCTTAGAATCAACCTTAATGACTATAAACAATCCCTCAGGCCATCACAGTAAACTTTCTTACGTATGATAATGTTTCTTCAATATACGTAAAACCCACACTAAACAATGAGTTCTGAATTGTAAAGGACCCGTCTAAGTTTTTACCCACAAGTTGAACAAAAACACACTCAAATTACTTCTGTGGTTGATTTTTTAACTGAACAAATGGATGGAAAAGAAGGAAGCTAGAACAGAGATGCAGGAGAATGGGGAGGCATGGAATAAAGAAAGATGGAAGGGGAGAAGGAAGGGAAAGAGAGAAGTTGGAGGAGAAAGGAAGTGAGAGGGAGGAAAGGAGAAAGTCAAATCAGTATTTTAAATATTGAAGGTAGGTTTGTGAAGCTTGAGAAATCATAATTGAAGGATAAGATGAAGTTATCCTTTTAATTCTGAAAGAAACACTGGTACCTGTATATTTAAAGTATCTATTTTTATATTGATGCTATTTAAAAAATTGTAGCCTAGTATTATTTCTTTTTCAAGTTTTATATGGAAGAAAGACTAGGAGAAAATTATGATTGTGGGCAAAATTTCCTGAGATATTCAGCATTTGGAAGAATAAGTTAAGTTGGTTAAGGCTACAATGTAAATAGAAGGTGCTGGAAAAAGAATTAACTACAGTGATGAAAACTGAAGGAGGATACACTGGACTGTTGGGTCTCTTCATGACCAATAGGCAGTAGCACAAGACAATATGAGTTTGACTTCTTGCATGAAAAAGAAATGAGGCAGCAAAGATCAGCTCTGTATGTTGTGTTTAAATTCTTTTTAAGTTGGAATTTAAATAATTCTCAGCTTCTTATGCTGGGCTATTACCAAAGGTAGAATTCAACCAACACCTTCCAAAACTGTATTTAAAGTGTTTCAATAAAACATTACACATCTCTTCAATTTAACAGAAAAACTGAATGGCTATTTCTAGCTCTTTGCATTAATAAACCCTAGTAAAATCAGTAAATTTTAGGAACTTCAGTTTAGTTTTTGTTGTTGTTGCTGTTGGTTTCTTGTTTTTAGCATGAATATGCTATACCACCTTATCCCTCCTTTTAAAAACATTTATACATCGCAAAACTTTACAAAGAAAGGTTTCATCTCTACCTATCCTTAATTATGGCAAAATCTTTAGTAATGTATCACATCATGACATAAGAGAGCATCTATGTACAAACATATACAATTTTATTGATATCGCTACAGACTACAAGAATTTTAAGTATAGTCACAATTGCTGAGTGCAACAGAAAAATAGTAATTTGTCATTTTCTGAAAAGATGCAAAAATTCTGAAGATGAAAGAAAGATACATCAATGGTGTCATCTGTTTCATATTTCCTAGAATAAAACATCACATAATTAAGTACTAAAAATTATAGGTTATTAGGGATTTTGATCCTGTGTACAATTGTACGAAACCACCACCTTATTTTCTGGCTTTGCATTTGAAAAGGGTGGGCCAAAACCAGAGGGAAAGCAGTAGGACAAGAGATTACTCTGAATTTTTGTCACTGTGCATTGCTATCTTTGATGGGCCGGCTCAAAGTGATACACACTCTTTCAGGGAATTGGAGGTCGGACAGTAAATTCTAGGCATTTTTCTCTTTAGATACCTATCTAATAAGGAAGAAATCAACTTAAGTGGCTTTGGGAGCTTGTGATTAAAACAACAATAAGATTAAAACAATAAAAAAGGAAAAGTTCTTTTTGTTAATACCTAGTCTAATAAAATAAATCTATAGTAGAACAGGTTCCTGGCACCTATGTTCCCTCTAAAATAAGAATGATTGCTAAATTTGGACCTAATTTGGTAAATGATTATTTTGAAAGTCCCCACTGCCCAAACTTTAAGAATTAGTTTTCCAATTAGCTTTCTACTGTGAGATGTATTTCTGGTATCTTGTGATATCACATACAAAAGATAATAAAAAATTTGTAAGTTGGATCCAGTTCAAATAATTCATGGCCAATTCACACAGGGGAACATCAGAGTTTCTAGGAGTTAATGGGGAGCTCACTGGTGAGAAATTCACTCAGGTTTTTGTTCTGTGAGAGGCACAGAATAAACACAAATGCAGGCAACATTGTATCATTACATGTTGCCTTCTCTGAGTCCAGCACACCAGCTAAGGTGCACAAATAGGTCTGACTTAGTTGGCAGACACTTTGGCTAGATACTGGAACCACTTTGGATGCTTTTAAAAAGACTAGAGTCTGGTTCACACTCCAAGGAATTGTGATATAATTGTGAATTTTAAAATCTCCAGTGACTGTTACATACAGCCACGGTTAAGAATCACTCCTCTAGATAAATACATCATTACAGGTATCTATCTATCCTCCAAATCAAAGTTTCTTGCACACTGGCACTGCTTCAGCTTTCCCAAGTCAGGCATCATCTGCATTTCTTCTGTTTAGGAAGAAATTTCTACACACATAACACAAAACATGTTATGCTGACAGCCGTGTTCCCTGGAATGGAGCATATTAGAGTTAATGCTCATTAAGTTCATGACAAATATTTCCAGCACTTGGAGCACATAGCACCCAGCCAAAAATGAGGTTGGGTGGTGAAGAAACTGTAAAGGTTACCCCATCTCCCCTAATGCAGACAGAAAGACTTGAGGTGCTGTGCTAACTTCCTTTGGCATGGTCTTGTCTGAACAATGTTGTCTATTTTCTACATGTGGGCCGGCTGTGATCCTACAGATATATTCCTGGCTTGTTCCAACAATCCTAAAGCAAGGAGAGGATTTTTTGTTTACTTTTCCTGACCTGTTTAATTTCCTCATCTGTCCAAATATTTTACAGCCATGAACCTCAGAAAGTACCTTCTGAATCTTCTCCAGCTAATCTTAGGCCTAATCTTACTCCTTTTTTCTCTCAAAGTCATGTAGATAATGATAGACAGTATCTTTAAAACTGCATATGGAGACATATAAACTGGGAGCTTTTCCCTTAAAATTTCCTTAAAAATTTGAGAGATAAGGTGTAGATTTTGATTTGCAAAGAGTAAATTCCAAAAGATTTGAAAAGTTATCTCTATGACTTAAATGCTGGAATACATCTCACTCATTTCTGTCACTGTCCTACTAAAACCATGCCAGACAACGACCCTGTTTGTGATGGAGACACTTTCTCTGGGCCTTAATGAAGTACAGAACTCCCATCCAAGTACTAACTAGGCCCAACTCTGCTTATTCAGAGATCAGATGAGATCAGGCACCTTCAGGTTGGTATGGCCATAGACTTAATGAAGTATAAGAAGCAAAGTCAGCAGTATTGCTTTTGTAGGGGATTAACACAAATGGTAGCTCAATCATTCTCAAAATCCCAAGATAAATGGAAGATTTCACATTACTTACATTATCATTAGAACAAACAATAATATTGCTCACTTTACTTTTTAGAATAAGTAAATAAATAGATTATTATTGATGAATAGAAAGATTATTTTCTGCTGGAACAGTAAAAAGGGCTTATCTATGAAAGGTGTAATAAGGAAGTAAAGTCAACTTGTCAAGACTGTAGTTTGCAAGCCTTTCTTCTAAATCCACCTTAGTAGATATAGTTTCTATGACATCCAAGGCTCAGGGTCATCACCTGCATCAGTGTTAAATTTACTAGGAGATTTTTTTGTATGTTCCAGGACAGAGAAAATATGAGACAATGCAAAGGATTACACAGATCAATAGTATTTGTTTTCCAAGATGATGCAATAAAAAATGGATGGTGGTTAATGTGTGTGTGCGCCAATGTTAGTGCAATAGAATGGAAAAGTTAAGAGAAAAATCACATTAGATTCTTCTTATTGCTATCTTTTTGAATTACAAAAATAATTTTGATACAGCAAAACCTCATTAATTTGGATTCCACTTATCAGAAGTTTGTGGGAGGAAATTACCCTTACATTAAGAAAGGGCTTCTAAAAACAATTTTGTAAGCACATTTAAATCACTTAGTGGAACCTGATCTTTTCAGACATTTAAGAAGCACTTATCTGCTTCCAGATGATGTGTTAACAATAAGCTTTTGGTCTATTTATTGAAGCAAGAGATTTAAACACTTTCCTCGTAAAAGGCCATAATACCCTTTTTGATATTTTCTCTGTGTACTTTAAATTGTTCAATAATATTGTTTCCTCACTGGCTCATAAATATTTTCTCCAAAATTGTCTTTTATTGCATATGAACCACACATGTAATTTGGGGTCCAAAACTTTATCTTGCTGACAATATGCACTTATGTGCAGCTTTACTCAGGACATGTATTATATATTTCAAGTCTGTTTCTTTGAAAGATGAATAGTGACTCTCAACTGGGAGCTATTTGGAATGGTGGGAGACATTTTTGATTGCCATTGTTAGGGGTTTCTATTAGCAACTAGTGGGTAGAGGCCAAGCATGTTATACTAACATCCTATAATACACAGGACAATCTCCTATGACAGAAAGTTTTGTGCTAATAGTGCTGCTATCACGAAATCCTGATATAAAACAAGTTAAATCCCTATTTTTGGCAGTGCTGCAGGTAGAACTCAGGGCCTTGTGCATGGCTTGGAAATGCTCTATCACTAGCTACTCTTTCAGCCCAGAACAAGTTAAATCTTACTGGGCTCTAGTGTATTTATTGAATTTACTACTACATTAGGTTGAATTTCATTATTTATAAAATAAACCAACTTTTCACTCTTCTTGGTCATTTTTAAAATTTAGAAATGATACTGTGTTTTGTTCAGAAAAATCAGAAAACCGGGTCCTTGAGACTGATGGTAGAAAAAGTACATTACAATTTGGTTGTCAGTCTCTTCTAGATCTAGCTTCAACTTTCTGTAGTATTTTCACTGTAAATTTTATATATCATGTCTGTATTTCTAGCCAGATTCTGTCACCTCCTATGAGAGTCTGAGAGATTCATAGAGTGTTTTTAAAAAAGAAGCCAGACATATTTAAGGACTCTGCAAAATGTTATCCCAGTATACATTTTTGGACTCTTTCAATCATCTTTTCTGTTTTCGGAATTACTGAAAACATTTTAAAGGAACGAAACAAAACAAAAAAAAATTTGGCTATGAAAATAACTGAAGACTCCAGGAAAATGGTGAATTATTAAGAAACACAGCTGTAAATCCAGTATGACCTTGATTAATCAAAATTCAATAAGTCAAACCCATACCATTAAGATTCTTTTTGAAGGAGCAGCATATTGTAAGATGGGTCCTAGAATACCCAGATGTTTCCTCTAAATTTTGACTTCCAGAATCAAGTTAAATAGTGCTAGTTGTCCTCATCTGTCAGTCTCTAGTACTCTTCTTTTATGATGGCCACTTTTATCTTGCTGGGGATGCTTTGTTATTGAGAATTTTAAGTAGGGAACATGTATTTGGTAGTTATTGCTGTAATTTTGTAGCTTATATTAGTTGACTTGATTAATGACAAAATTATTGATTTTTTATATCATTAAAATATGTATTTCTGTTGTTCATAATGAGGACTGAGGCCAAGATAGCAAAACACCACATTTTATAAATCTTTCCATTATTAAGTTCTGAACCAAAAAATAATTTTTAATAAAATCCATAATCATAAATGTAATAAATCAGAATCCATTTCCCAATACATTAACTGAGGTTTTACTGAATTATGTTAAAGAGAATGACCAGGCTGTGACATTCACAGTCTGTGAATGTCAGGCTGTGAAAGCACCTTGGGGCTACAGACCCTACTGGGTTTGAATAGTAATATACTGTGTAGCTGACAGGCATGGATATAGATGGAAAATTTAAAATATTACGTATTAGAAACTGAAATTTGGAAGCCTGAAATCAGTTCTTAAAGCTATCTGCCTTGTTCTAATAGTCTAGTTTCTCAAACCTATAGCCAACTCCCTTGCAGAATACAAACCAGGCTGAAAAAAATGCTTTTAGGGGACCCAACCTTGCATGGTTAATGACTAAAAATAGCAACCCATTCTGAAGGTGACAGCAATGGCAATAATTGTGTTGGGAATAATTTATAGTACTGGCAATTCTTGAATGAGAACTGGGAATGGTGTAAAATCCAACACAGAGAGAAGAACATTGACCAGACTCTTGTAAGAATTCCGTGTTCTAAGCATGATGAAGGTTACAGATGAGAAGAAAATTCTGGGTTTTTGTTTTGTTTGCTTTGTTTTTCAGTGGGGTATGGCAAATATATTTGAAATGCACTGATACCCTCTAATGCAGATTTTTTAAGTTGTTGGGTATGGCCCAATTTATAAAAATAATTTATCATAAATCTTTTTCTTCTGTCATAACATGCTTTTTTTTCCTTTTCCTTTTAAGATGTTAATTTATCATGCAAATTTTTTCATTAAGTGCATTAATGCTTTTTGTTTGTACAGGAATTTCAAATCGAAAGAAGATTCCCCATAGTTTCTAAGTGTAAATCTTTAGCAAATCACATGCCAAGGTGATAGCTCCATTCCACATGGGAAAAGGCATATTCAACCATTATCTTGGGATTTTAACCAGGGTTCCAGCCTTTGGGTTGTAGTGTCTTTGATAAATCTCCTTTCCAATAACTTCAGATGGACGTAGTGGAACATTTTGTAGAAGAAACTGGCTTCTAGCAGTTGAATAGAGCTGCTGGGAATAAATTTGGTTTCCCTGAATAATGGTTTCTCAAAGTAGTCACAGCGTCCTTAGAAGTTTAGAATTGGTACCATTTCTTATCCTTATATTTCAGCATTAACTGTAAAGAGAAAAACAGTCAGCATAAAATGCTAAAAACATCTCTAATAGTACTATTCAAAGCAAGCCCATATTGAGTGAAACATATTTAACTAAATCTCAAAATATATAATAAAACAAGATGCTCTATTTTGTAGAATAAAGTACATATGAGAAAGGTTTAAAAACCAAGCACCCAATCAAGCTATAAAGACATTTTATAGAGATTTTAATGATTAAGACAAAATAGAGCATGTGGATCCCAACCTCTACTGCCCTTTAGGGGGGAGAGACACACATACTCTACTTATACACACTGTGTGCAGCTGATACTGCAAACAACTTTTCAGATCCAATAGGTAATTTTAATTATTTCCTAAGGGAAAAAGTATTCATACATTATGGTTAAAACCATTTCCCCAATCTGAGATTTATAACACTTTTAATACTTAGAATGTTTTTAAGGCTTTCAGTTTATCCTTACTGGTAAGCATTATATTTAGGTGTGGCTAAGCTTTCTCATGCAGGACCTAAGAATTTAAAGTTACAGCTGTCTGAATATGCCTACACATGTTTGGGCACTTTACCTCATGAGCGTGTTTGGAAAACGCTTCTGCGCTGGTCATCATGCCTGCAGTCTTCTCTTCCAATTCTCCCAGTCTCTGTCCTCTCTCATCTAATGCAATCCGGGCTCTGGTCAACTCCCCCATCACCCCTCCAGCCGCACCTTTCATTCCTTCTATACTGCCTGGTCCAGGGATGTGTTGCGCAAGGCTACGGGATGCTTTTCCTGCAGTGGCTTCCCCAACTGGGAGTTTAAGCCATAGCAATGTAAAACATTTTGTCAAAATAATTTAAGTAGTCAAGACTATCACCAAAACAAATATTTATATTACATTCTATTGTCATAATTCTCATTAGAAGAGTGACATATTTGCTTTTGTTCTATGTATGTGTTTGAAGATGCTAGCATTTAGCCAAAAAAAAAAAAAAAAAGTCCTAAGAAAGAGACTCAGAAAAATACTATTACCACATGCATTTGTGAGTTTGGGTTGGGGTGGTTTCCACACAATAAAGTGTAACTGCATTTCTTGACACAGCTGAACTGTCATTCTCTCAAAACATGAGCCCTCATGTTTTACCCATTTTAGGATCTGATATTTTGCTTAACTTTCTTGCCCAGATCTTTATTCCAAACTTTCATGTTCATCTTGATTTATCAGCCTTTATAGGCCTCAGATTTTTTCTCTTTGTAAATACTAGAATATAGGGAACAGGAATATAGTATATAAATAATGGACATTAGTATACATTGAGATAATGTGGCTTCATAAAAGGCTAACACTTCCTAGTGACCAACAAAACTAGTCTGAATCGCTTCAATGAAGTAAGAAAATTATTGAAATAGGTATCTTGCCAGAAATTTGCCAGAAACATTTCCAACAAAATAACATTTGAGATGCAATTTAGATTCTTTGTTTTTTGTTTTTTCAGATAGTGTCTCACTGTATCATGCAGGCTAGTCTTGAATTGACTATGTAGTTCAGGCTGGCCTTGAAGTTACAGTTTGGGATTAGAGGTGTGTGCCACCATAATTGGCTTATCTTTTTAAAAATAAGAGCCTTATTGAAGTTCATCCTTAAACAAGTGCTCAGCTCACTGGCTGTTGTGCAGCTATCACCACTTTCTGATTTTAGATTGTTCCCCTAAAAGCCCCACATCCTGTAGCAGTCACTCTTCTTTCCTTATTCCAGTACCAGTAACCAATGAGCTGCTTTCAGTCTCCATAGATTTGCTTTTCCTGGACATTCAGATAAATGGAATCACATACATGAACTTTTGTGTCTGACCTGATGATTCTGTTGGATGTTTCTGATGTTCATCCATGTTGTCACTTGTACCAGTACTTCTTTTCTTTTTATGGCCAAATAATACTTCATTATATAATGGCAGCTAGATCTTTTTGCATAGTTAAAAGTTCAAGAGGAAGAGAGCTTTAATCTACAAGACCAAAGCATAGTGGTATATTCTGGAAAATATATTGTTATCTTCTCTCTGAAAATGTTTCCTAGTATTTTCCTTCTGCTTTTTGATTATTGCTCATCAAGGTCTTACTGGAAAATTTTAAAAGTAGTTCATTTTGAACAATCTGTTTCCCACAGTGATTAAAGACAGACATTAAAAAACCAATTTTCAGATTTTAATAATTAAATGCCTTAACCCTGCCAGGCGGGTATGATCTAAAAATGAGACATTTATTAGCTTGATTATTATTTGTTTGAATTATATATATCATTTTTGTTAAATTATTTCCTAATATTAAGTGACCAATTTTATTCATGTTTGCTAAACACAAATAACGTTTATGGTACAGAAAGCAATATGTTCAAACTTTAAAACGAGTGAAAAACACTGAGTTTAAAATTTGAGATCACATGTTACATTAAACTACAGAGAGAGGGAGACAGAGACAGAGAGACAGACAGGGAGAGAGAGAGAAAGAAAGACTGAGAGAAAAGAGAGATTGATTTTTATGATCACAAGTTTACTCACAGAGCTCTTCTCTATCAAATGTTTGTCCACTTCCACCAAATAGTCCCTTCAGAAATCCTCTATTTTGAGCCTCTGGTGTCTCTATGGGAGTGAACAAATCTCCCAGCATGTCCTGTACCAAATTGAAAGAAAAAAAAAACTTTTACAACAACTAAGAATAGATTAAAACGATAATGCTATGTATGTTGAGCACATCATGGAAAGACAGGCTGTTTTCCATATCTTTTCCTGCTGATTTTTCCTTACAGTTTTCTAATATTTCTTTCTCATCGCTAGTAATTGTAATTTTCCTTTTTCTGTTCCTTTTCTCTTCTCTAACAAGCATGAGGAAATAATATATTCACTTGAGATTTAATTTCTGCCTATGAATAATGATTACCAATTTAGATGTCTGTCTGCATCTGTTTCAGTTAGCACAGCATCTTTCCTGTCCTGGTTCTCTTTTCTGAGCCCAGTGTGGAATGCTGCAGGGAATAGGAAGCCTTTGGCACTATGTGCAAGAAAGCTCCATCTATTTTTATGTGTACAAGATTATGACAACATGGCTCAAGATCATTTAACTCAGTCAAAATAAGACCAGGGTGAGGTAAATGTTTTTGTTTGGAGAGTCTTGGAATGACTTGGAGGGGAATACCATGTTTCCTCCAAAATAAACCCTATCTGAAAATAAGCCCTTTTGGCTGTTACCATAATGATGGACACTATCATGCAGGCTATGCCTCCCCTTTCTCTTGCTCCTTAGCTACTCTAGCAGCAGGTAAGGCAAGGATTTGCCAACTGGCGCTCGCATTTTTGATGTCTATTTTTCAAAGCTGATTATTTTCTGTGGGCTTATTTTGGGGGAAACATGATATTTACTTGGAATTCAGATGTGCCCACCATGTTCCACAAATATCAAGTCAGAATCTATGTGCTTTGGCTATCTGTATTTTTATCAGATATCTACAAGTCTTCAGCACAGGTAAGATAAATCAAAAGAAGAAAGTGGTAGGGTCACAGTAAAGAACATACATTTAAAACACCAAGAAGAGGTTTATTTACCATTTAGCAGAACACAGGTAACAGTGTAGCTTTTACACATTTTCTATCACTTTTCTTTTAAGTGCAACTTTAAAAAAAAACCCAAAAAATCATGTGCTTGACCTACCTGTAAATTATCACACATTTCTTGGCTGTATGTCAACCTCTGAATTTCGGTAGGAGAGACCAAGTATAATGCCTGTCCTTCATTGGTAAAACAAAATGTGCGTGCTATCCTCATGTCTGTCAGTGGCAAATAATTAACATCCAACATTGGGCGAAGACTAGGTAAGCTGAACGAAAAAAAAAAATAAATTCACATTTTATACTGATGTTTGTTTTCCAGTATAAAACAAAATACCCAAGACCACTGCACTGAGCTATATCCCAGCCCTTTTTCACTTTGTAATTTTGAGACAAGGTCTGGCTAAGTTGTCAAATTGCAGTCTGGGTTGGGACTTGTGATCCTCTTGATTCACCTTCTGGGTACTAGGATTATAGATGTGTGCCACCACATTCCACAAACTGAAGAGGACATAAAGCTGGTTCATTCATTCTGCCTGAGATGGAATGGATGTGCTCCTCATTCTTTTACTCCTTAATTACACAGGAAAATGAAAATAAGCTATAACTTAGGGCATTGCCACCAAAGACATACTGATAAATAAGCCTGGACAAAAATGTCATGGAATGAGCTGGGGATGTAGCTCACTGGCACAATGCCTCCCTGGAAAGTTCTAGAGTTTGATTCCTGGTACAAAAAAAAAATTAATGGAATGACAGTAAAAAGTATTGGCTCAGAATTTACACATCTAAATGAATACCATATATTTGAGGTATTTTACCATATGGCTTCCGGTTTATCTTAATGTTTTAGCTTTGCTAAAATATTGAATAGAATGTCCTTTGAGACAGTTATTAGAGCTAGTTTTACAAACCACTGAAGAAAATCAGTTTTATTGTTTTTTGGTAACACCATCTCTACCAAAAGAGGTAAAATGTGATTAAATCTCAAGTTTTGAACCGTTCTAATTCTGAATGTGCTCAATGTGATTTTAGATTATTACAAATCATAAAACCAAAGCCTCAAATAGTACTGATTTCTCTTATTAAAATAATTTGCAGTTAATACTTTGGACCTGAACTGAGATGTGCTGAAAGTATAAATCATGCACTAGAGTTCAATAATTATCTAAAATTTAAAAGAGATGTTAAAAATGCATATAACACTTCAGGTTACTGAACCTCTTAACACATGAACTGCCACATGTTAACAAATGGGGCAGAGGAAAGGAGATTTTTCTGATGGGTTACCATATCTCTGTTCTGTCATATAAACAAGAATAGAAAAGATGATTTTTAAAAGTGTTAATTGATGTAGAAAAAAATGAAAGATAAAATCAATTGTAAGGGGCTGGGAAACAACTGGTTTTAAAACTAAAAAAGTGTTTTATTTTTCCATGCAGGAATACTTTTATAGAAATAGGATCAGGGAAAGTGGCTCCTACACTGGAGAATTCATATACAGATTCACCTTTTATATTATTCTCTATTTTCTAACTTGCTTCTCAAGGTCTGGGGGGTTCATTAGCACCTGAACAACTAATCACTAACTGTATCTATCAGAAACTAGGACTGTAGGAGATTGGGCTCAGCAAAGTGATCTGGAAAGATCTTGGGAATATATCCTTCATGGGAAAATGGAGGAAGCCAGAAATGGAAGGAGTTTTAGGATTCAGTTCATCAAGCTACACAACAGAGTATATACCATTACTTCTTAGTCATATTTTATACATTAGAAAAACCATGTCAAAATCATTTTGTTTTCAAATATTTTTAAGGATTCTTAGGAACACAGTTTCTGTTGTAATGTCAAAGTAACTGTCATCTATAGCAGCTGTCACAAAGGACAAAGGAAGAATGAAAGAGTATTTTATCAATGATTCCAATTGTTTTAAAACTCCCTTTTTTGAAGAAAATTCTCAAGAAATCTCTCGTGTCATAAATATAGATGGTGGCATATACTCATTTAAATAGAAGTTAATTTGGGACATTAGTTACAAAATCAAAGTAAATAATAATTAGCAAGATAAAACTCCAATTTGACAAAATAGTTTAATGTAAGAAATATTGTGAGACTAAAGACTAGCTTACACACTTTTACTCCAAAACCAAGGCAAGTCTAGGAAGGAATTAAATCATCATTTTAAAATAAGACTGAATGACATTTTTGTCTATAAAATATATAAAAATAGTTTGAGAAAGAGAAAATTAGATACAAAGAATTCCTTTGTTAGGTTGATTCCTAAGTATTTAATTTTTTTGGATGCTATTGTGAAAGGTATGATTTCCCCAATTTTTCTCTCAGTGAATTTATTATTTTGTACAGGAATTCTACTGATTTTTGAGGGCTGACTTTGTATCTAGCCTCACAATTGAAACGACAATACACAAACTCAAGTATCAGTGGAACAGAATAGAAGATGAAGAAAAACCTCCAAATACACTCAACCACCTCATCTTCAACACAGAGGCCAAACACTTTCACTAGAAAAAACATGGCTACTTTAATAAATGATGATGGAAAAACTTGCTTTTCACATGCCAAAGATTAAATCTAGAGTCATATCTCTCACCATGCACTAAATTGAAATCAAGAAATAAGGATCCAAATATTAACACAGAAACACTAAATCTGCTGGAAGAGAATAGGTAGAATTGGTGTAAGCAAAGACTGCACAAACAAAATCATGATTGCACAGGAAATATTAGAAAGAATCAACAACTTGGATCTCATCTTATTAAAGAGCTTTTGCACAGCAAAAATCACCAAGAGAATGAAGACACACACTCAGCGGGAAAACATTCTTTCCAGCTGCTCTTCAGACAAAGGATTACCCTATGGAATGTATGAAAACTACAACAAAAATCCCCCAGATTTAAAGATCCAATCCAAAAATGGGTATCTGAAATGAATACAATCTTCTCAGATAAAGTACAAATAAATATGTGAAAAAATATTCTACATCAGTGTTTATTAAAGAGATGCAAATTAAAACAGTGGTGAGATCTATCTCACTCCAGAAAGAATGGCTATCACCAAGAAATTAACCAATAACAAGGGCTGGCAGAGCTATGGTGAAAAAGGAACCCTTCACCACTGTTGGTGGCAGTGTAGGTTGTGGAAAGTCCTTAAAAATCTAAAAATAGAAGTTGCCTTTGATCCAGTTATTCCACTTCTTGGTGTCTTTCCAAAATAATTGTAAGCATTATGCTACAGCAATATATGTATACCTGCGTTTATAGTGGCACAGTTTGTAGTAGATAAATCTTGGAAACAGCTCAAATGCCCATCAATCAGTGAATGGATAAACATGTGTTTTGTTTTGTTTTTACACACTGGTGTAGTAATCAGTCATAAAGAAGTATATATTTGAAACATTTCTAGATAAATGGATGCACCTTGAAATGATACTCTTAAGTGAAATAAATCAGACACACAGGTGTAAATACCACATCTTTGTGATGTGAGAAACAGAAAGTGCAAATAGGGACTAAAATGTATGATAGATATTGTGAAATAGAAAGAAAATGTTCAAATGGGAAGGGGAACTAGGAAAGAAGGAGGGGAGAAATAAAAGAAAAAGAAAAAACGAGAAAAGAAGGAAAAATGGAAATAAAGGTTTGTAAACAAGGAGGAAGAAAGAGGGGTTGCAGGGAGGAAGAAAGAATTAAAATATATTATGCACAGGTAAAAATACCCTAAGATGAGTGTGATCATTATGTATTCTAATATATTTTATTAAACATACATGCACACAAAGGCATTGGGTAATTAAGGACCTTGATCATGGCAGGCATATACTCTACCACTAAGCCATACCTCTGGAACCAATATACTATCATTTCTTATTATTTCATTCACCATCATAACTTACTAAGGCATTACACTGAAAACTCCCAAAACTGAATTTTTTGCTCAAACTTTTAAAGATTCCACACTTAAATTGTTTGCTAAACTTTTCCTGGATACTGATGTAAGTACTATATATTTAAAAAATAAGTATTTTCAACTCACTCTCAAGCTTTTCCAAATCCTTCTGGCTTTCCAATACGCTAATAGTATTATAGTTATCCAAATTGGAAAAATGTAATCTTTAAATTATTTTCTAACTCCAAGATTTAGCAACCTCAGTTACTCATCATGATTAATGACCTTGTATGTGTTCCTTTATAATTTCTCCCACCTGTCCCCTCTTTCCTTTCTATATAGTTATTACTTACTTCAGAGCCAAACTCGAGCTCTCCTTATGTATAGACCTTATGTATATAACTAGAGAAGGCTACTTACATGCTTTAGTTCTTTTAGCCTGCAATTCAAGGTCCTCGACAATTTACCTCCCTAATTTTTCTCCAGCTAATTTTTTTCCCCAAAGCTCTTCTTAATGATACATGTTCAGCTATCCTATGATCTTGATCTCTGGGAACTTTGTCAGTAGAAAATCCAAATCCGTATTTCCTCTGTTGGAATTTATATTTTCTTTATGTCATAACTACTTATGTACCTGTCTCATATTCCTAGTTAGTAAGTTTAAGAGTTAGGATAACATCTTGCTAATTTTTACATCATTTATAGGCTTATCACAATGCTTAACTATTTCAGTGATTTTGGAATTAGGTGTGATACTAAACAGAATGACAGAGGTGCCCATATATTATACTTATATTAACAATTTGCTCAATTCATGAAACATATAATATTTTTATGTCTCACAAATTTTATTTCACTGAGAGTCAAATAAAATCATTCACCTGATACTTTATTTTTAAAGTGTGTATGATGACTTTTTGTATACTGTTCAGTGCTGGCCTCATTCTCCTAGGCTTGAAACTTTAGGCAAGTTATTTTACTTCAATTTATTAAAATTTGTGAAGTAGAAAATGCCAGTAATGTATCATCTTCCTACATCCCAAAGAAGATAGAAAGACCAAATGAAATTCTGTATGTTAAATTCTTACATGAACTATGAAACAATAAAAATGACAGCTAACTTCACTTTATTGTAATTTATTCATCTTTTATGATTACCAGATAATTTATAAAGAAGCCAATTACCTCATTATCATGATATGCCCATTAGCACAAAAGCAGGTCAAGCAGGCGCTGTTACACATGACCACCACATCAGCTTGCAGTATAAAAGATGTTTCAGTGATGTTATGAACATAAAGGCAAGTCTGAGAAGGCAGTGAAAAGACTTTGGCTTGTTTTTCTGAGCAGATTATTATATACTGATGATCTCCTATGTCTTGGGATGAAGATGAGTAATTCATGACCAATTTCCTTTTCCAAGTTTTTTCATTTTCATCAACACTGTTTGGATCCCTCCAAACTTCATAAGGTGGTTGCATTAATCCACCAGTGCGGTCCATACAGGAAAATGTTAGCACAGCTCCTTTTAATGACAGGAATGTACCTATAAAAACAATTTTATATCATTGGCATATAAAATACTTTCTGAAACAGGTGTTATTTATCAATAGGCAATAAATGTTTTACCTTATTTATACACATACAACACCATACTATTGCACTATTGTACACAAGTTAGTAACTTTGCTATATAACTTGTAATCAGAACGTCAGGTCTAAAAGGAGAGTAAAATATCAATTTGTTAAATTTTCTCATTATATTAACAGGACAACAAATGCCAAATAATGATAGCATGGATCAGGCTGTACAGAAATTCCTAACCCAACAGTCTTTTATTATTCTATATAGTCTTTAATAAAACTTTTAAAAATCAAATTTAAGAAAATATAAAAACTTTCACTCATTAAAATAATTTCAACTGGAAAAATAATCATATCATCTGATATTCTTTAAAAATTTTAGTCTTATTTTCTAGAAACTGCATTTTTTTTTTTTTTTTTTTTTTTGGTTTTCTGAGATAGGGTATCACTTGTAGTTTAGGCTGGCCTCAATCTTGCAGTGATCCTCCTGCCTCAGCTCCCAAGTGCTGTAATTACAGGTCTGTACCATCATGCCTGGCATCATTTTTCTTTATTTGAAATTTACTACTTAATAAATTCCACAATACCTTAATATCTAAGTTTTTGACTTGTTAATTTTGAGATATTTATTAGACATCCATATGGATGTCAAAAGTTAATTATTTGTGCCAGAAATCTGAAGGAGGTTCAGATTATAAATATAAATACATGTTTCATTATATCACAAATGCATTGAAAGCAATGAGACTTGCTGATTTCGCTGAGGGCTTACCTAAGTAGAAAAGAGAAAAGTTCAAGAAGTTAGTCTTTGAGTGAAGGTGTTTGGCCCCTATGTCAAAGATAAAGTGGCTGAATGTTTCTACATCTTCTAATCTGTTCCATTGACCTTTAGTTCTGTTTTTGTCAGAATCATTCTGTTTTTTTATTATAGTAGCTCTGTAGTAAATTTCAAGTCAGGGATTGTTATGCCCCCTCCTTGCCTTCGTTGTCCAGAAATGATTTTGCTATTCTAAGTTTCTTTTGGTTGAATTTTAGAAATATTTTCTCTTATTTTATGAGCTATTCTATTGATATTTTGATTAGGGTTACATTAAATCTGTACAAGAATTAGGGAGTATGGCCATTTTCATTACTTTGGTTCAAATGACAAATAAATATATGAAAAAGTGTTCAACACCATTGGTCATTTGCGACATAAAAATTAAAACAACGCTGAGATTTCATCTCACTTCAGAAAGAATAGCTATTATTAAAAAACCAATGAATAGTGGTGGGCTATGGGGAAAAATAACACATCTCCACTGCTGGTAGGAGTGTAAATTGGTACAACCACTGTGAAAATCAGTGTAGAGATTCCTCAAAAAAAACTGTGGTTTCATTTGATCCAGTTATTTCCATTTTTTAGTATCTCCATAAAATAATATAAAACATCACACCACAGCAGTAGGTGCACACCCATGTTTATAATGGCACAGTTTGTAACATCTTGGAAACAGCTCAAATGTCCATTCCCGTGTATGGATAAAAAAAGACATGGATTTTTAATACAATGGAGTCATCCTCAGCAACAAAAATGCATAAACTTGAGACATTTCTAGGTAAATGGATGCAACTTGAAACCATACTCTTCAGTGAAATAAATCAGACACATGTGTAAATATTATAGTTTCTCCAGTATAGAAACCAAATGTGTAAATAAGGATCAAAATATATAGCAGACATTGTGAAATAGAAAGAAATGTTCAAATGGGAAGGGGAACTAGGGAGATGGGAGGGGAAAAGAAAGAAAGGGAAGAGAAAAAATAAGAAAATAAGGAAAAATGGATAGAAAGCTTTTGCAAATAAGGAGGGGAAGAGAAGTCAAAGGGAGTGGGAAAAAAAGATGAATGAAGATATATCATGTATAGGTACAAATGCTCTATGATGAGCGTGATCCATATGTATATCTAAATTGGACCCATAAAGTTAATTAAAAGTTAAAAGTAAAGTTAACCTTGGGGCATTCTGATGATTAAAGTCTAGTGGATGAGGAACATCTAGAATTACAGTAAGAAAATCAGATAAACATAACATTCTAGAGTTTAAATGAAGTCAAGTGAAGTCACAGATATCTCAAATAAGTTTCCTGAGAACCAACCACTGAATTTATCAATGAGGTCAATAGTATGGTTTTAAGCTCATGTGGCATAAAATTTTTGATTTAACTTTTAAATGCATAGCAATGAATGTCTGTCACATTTGTTGAATTGAATAAATTTGAATTACTAATAATGTATTACGACCTCATTGATCTGGCCTTAAGTCAACTAGAATAAAAGAATTTCCCTAAAATTATAGTAAAGTTTCTTTACTGTGAAATACATGTTTATGATAAATGATATTAACCATTTAAAACACAATGGATTTATCTGAATTTGCCACACCACTGAAAAACTTAATATTCTACCATCTATCATATGAACTTTGCATTCTACTTAATAAAGGAACACAACTGTTTCTAATCTTCCAAACATAACATTCTTTTAAAACAAAAGCTATTTACCATGTATATTAATGAAATTCTTCTTTTTTAACTTAAGAACTACCAAAAACACTTCTTACATAGAAAAAAAATGTAAAATTAATGGTAAGAACCTATTATAAATATTAAAAGCAATAACAAGTAGTGATAGTTCATCTTAATTATCAACTTGACTTGATGAAGAGACTCCTTGTGATGTAACTGGATCATGGGGCTGCTATACTCATGAGTAGTCCAATACACTGATGTTCACAGTTGATTATGACTTTAGGAGGTAGTGTCCAGTTGGTCAGTCAGTCCAGAAGGTCAGTCTCTGGTGTTGTGCCTCTAGAGGTTACATCTCATGTTAGTAATCTTTCCTTGTAGATACATCTGGGTGCTATAAAGTGAGTATTCTTTGCTCCACTATGCCCTTTGGCGATGATGTTTCTACCTTGGAGCTAGACAATCAGGGACTGAAACCTCTGACACTATGAGTCAGATAGCCTATTTCCTAGTTTAAATTGTATATGTGTGTCAGGCATTTTGTGTCAGCAGTTGAAAAGCAACCAACACACAAAGGGAATAACACTCATCCTTTTTATGAAAGTTAAAAAAAGTGGAGTAGGAAAAAATATAACATATATCTTAGCAAGAACACTTATAACAGATTAAATTTCTAGGCACTAGATTAAAAATGAAATTGCGTGATACATCTTTGAAACTAGATGAGAAGACTGTGAACAACTCTAAAAGTCTATATTAGCTCAGACTAATTTAATTGTTTTGAGCTCATCAAGGATGATGTAAAACACTCTTAGGTTCCAATCTGGCATAGACCTTTGGAGAAATACTTCATTAAAAATAAATTTAACTTTTCCATTAAGGTTTTCCTTAGTGCTTAACAGAAATTTATTTGTCAAGGCATTCTTTAGATTAGCAGTTGCATAATTTACATAGGAGTGATTCTACTCTTTTGTTCAGAAGGACTGGTAAGTCACAACATGACAAATACAGTATATGATTTATGGAATTCTCAGCAGTCCTTATTACATATAACACTCACATTCTTTTTTCCACATTAATAGAACAAGTGGACCCAAGGGTATGGGAGAAAGGGGAGGAAGGGAAGTAAAAAGGGTTCAGGTGTAATATATTATGTACAATTTTTCATGATAAATACATTTATTATTTTTCATAAACATCACAAAGAGTGAAGAAGGAAAGCAACTTAAATTATTAATACTTTATATTTAAGTGTGAAAAATGAACTCGGGAATGAATGAACAACACTTACCACTTGGCAATACTATGACTGGTTCTGTAAATCTCTGTTCATCTGATAATGGTACATTTAGGGAAATGATCAACACCATTCCCAGACTAGTTCCAACAAACAGACAAGGGGAGATGGTAGAGTCATTTTTCCGTGCAAAGGACTCCATAAAATATAATGCTGTAATTGCTTCTTTTGAATCTTTGTCAATACTGGAGATACTAGAGCTTCTAGAACGATTGTAGGAATTTTCTCGGTTTTCTATGGAAAACATAAAGATATAAGTTAAGTATTAGTGTATTTCCAAAATAAAGTCAGGTTAAAATATGAAGAGTAAATTTATAAACAGAAAGTAGCATTTCATTCTTCATTTATCTAGAAAGAGGTTTCTTTGTTCACCAGCATAGTAAATGGAGAAACAGAAGTCCAGAAGTATAAATCTTAAATTTGGGTAGAAATAAAAGTAGGCCTTGAGTCTCCTCAGTTTCACTTTATAATTTTTTCTTTCTCCATATTATCTCAGCTAATACTTAAAATTCTTTAATCTGGAAAATATACTCAATCTAGTTAAATTTATAAAACATTTTAAGTTGTGCTATTTTTCTATTTCTCAATTGTCAAAAATAAAATTATCGCTTGACATTTCCCACTTAGTGATACTACTGTGGCTACTGGTATGAAAGAAATAGTCCAGATGATAAAAATTCTGTGATAAACACATTATATATCTGAGAGTATTTATGATATAAAAATCAAAGTTTATACCAAGACCAAAATGCATATATTACCTCTGTGAAGGGGTATCAACCTATTCACCTTGAATTCTAATCGTATTCCAATTTTGTATTTGGCCAAATAAAAAGCTGTAGAGTATACCATTCTATGGATGGTGTGATCTTTCTGAGAATGTTTTAGTCTACTCCAAGAAAACAGAATGGTTTCATAATCTCTTATTAATACATGTACAGGCACTTTCGGACAGGCATGTTGCTCCAGGATACAAGTTCCTTATACTTTTTTTTTAGCACTTTCATTCTCCCTCCCTTCTGGATAGGTAGGAATGTGTCTTATAACTATTTATATCGAAAGTCATAATACGAGTCATCAGAATCCTTTTGCAAAAATAAAATATGGTAATTATTCCTGATTTTGTCCTTTTCATTTCTCAGCAAATTCTGGAGTAATGCTGGTAAGCCCTAAAAAGCTCAGCTACTTATTGCCTTTATTTTATTTTAATTTTATTTTTTATTTTGAAGAAAATAAAATCAAATGAGAGAAAACAAAATGGGATCAGTCAAAATAAAAGGATGGACATAATACATGACTTAAAACCAAAATACAAGAGGGAAAGACAAGAAGATGGCAGCTTGCTAGTAGCTGGGTAGAGAGTCTCTCTGGGAAAAACAGCTCAGATGCCAGAATTTGACAACATGGAGAGGGCTGGAAGAGAGGAGAGGGATTTTTGCAACCCAGGAGGAAACTGAAGGAAAAATAAACATAGGAAGAGGAAGGAAAAATCCAGGTAGAGGGCTGGAGCCGGATGGCTCACTGGGATCTGTCCCACGCTGTGCTGGGCGTGCCCTGGAGTCAGATGATTCACAATAGCGTTCAAGCCGCGGTCGCCAGTAACGGGAGTTGGTGAGTCCTGGGCCCTTAGCGGGAGGATACAGCACGTGGAGTGGAGTGGAGCCAAGGTGGACAGCTGCATTAATTCTCGGTGAGTGCTGGAAATTGGGTCCCATGGCAGGTGTGGCCGGCTGGAGGACATATTAGAGTTGGGCAGAGTCTGGCGCCACGATGGCTTCAGTTAGCGGCCCATGGCCCAGAGGACTGGTGGGATCAGCTTGGGCTGAGTCACACCTGGTTGGGACCCAACAGCCAGGGATGAAACTGTCCTGACCCTGTGACAACTGCCATAGCGTAATAGCACAACCTAAGTTGCTGAAGGCACTTGCAGGTTGACTGGCTCAGAGAAGAGGGGCCAGCCCACAGTCCCTGTGTGCACATCAGATAACAGCAAACTGGAGAAGGCAGCAATCCCCTAGCCAGCACACTTCAGAAAAACCACAAGCAATACGGAGAGGGCCTGAGACCTCCACCATACACCTGTCTGAAAGAAACCAGAAACATGACAAGAGAAAAAAAATAAGAAAAAACCTCCAGCTGCTGACCCTGGGAAAATAAGCCCAGGAGAGGTAAATACAGAAGAGAACCAGTGCAGCAATCATGCAATATTGGCCACAACATAAGGGGACATAGAGAAATACCTTTGTGACCTCATAGACAAACTTAAAACTGAAATTCTAATCTAAGTGAGGCAAGATATAAAAAGACTAATAAAAGAAATGCTAAGCCCCTCTCAAGAAGACACAGATGGAAGAATGGAGGAATCCAGGAAAGGAAGAGAAACCTTTGGTGAAGAATATATACAGGGGCTGGGTATTTAGCTCAGCGGCATCAGCACCTGCCTTGCAAGCAGGGGGTCATGAGTTCAATCCCTGGTACTGATTTAAAAAAAAGGAAAAAAAAAGAGAATATAAACAAAATCTAGAATACATGAAACAGATCCAAAGAGATTATCAGGAAATTAAAAACTCCATTGAAAGCTGGCAAAATGCCCTAACAGAATTTAAAGTTAGACTTTTAAAACTTGAAGATTTGCAATGTGTGATTGTGAAAGAAAAGACCTCTTAAAAATAACAAGGAAGAGGGGCTGGAGATTTAGCTCAGTGGCATAAGTGCCTGCCTTGCAAGCAGGCAGTCGTGAGTTCGATCCCTGGTACCGATAAAAACGAAAAAGACAAAAAAAAAAAAAAAACCATAAATAACAATGAAGCAGTAAGTAACAATTCAAAGGCTAGAAGATGACAAGAGGATCTACAACTTAAGAATAAAAAACATGAGCAGGAGTAACCACAAATGAATTACAAAGGCTATTCACAGAAATAATTAAGGAAAGCTTTCCAAGCATAGGAAAAAGAAATGATAACCAAATAAATAAGGCATACAGAACTCCAACCAACTACAACTAGAATAGATCTACACCCAGACATATAATAATCAAGATCACAGAAATTCACCACAAGAACAGAATATTAAAAGTAGTCAGAGAAAAAGAAGCAGATCACCTATAAAGGAAAATTCATCAAAATAATGACAGACTTCTCAACACAAACCATCAAATCAAGGAGAGTCTGGGGGGATGTAGTCCAAGCCCTGAAAGAAAATAACCTCCAACCCAGATTGATGTACCCTGAAAAACTCTCTCTCAAAATTAATGAAGAAGCAAGATGGTTCCAAGACAAGGAGAAACTGTGGGAGTTCATGGCCACCAATCCAACCCTACAAAAAATACTAAAGGACATTCTAGAGAGAGAGAAAAAAAGTCACCAGGATTCCAGAATTAATATTTATTTTAAGTTGTTTTATAGATTCACAACATTGCTGCTTTATGTCAGTTGCTGTTGCTTCATAAACTACAGGTGTGCAACTCCTGATCTCTTCTGTGTTTACCTCTCCTGGGCCAGTACTGCTTGGGTTGGAGGATGGAGCCTGCCTTTTGTTTCTTCCTCTTGTCATGTTGCTGGTTTCTTCCAGACAAGTGGATAGTGGTGTCCCTGGCATTTCCTGTATTGGTTATAATTACTCTGAAGTGTGCTGACTAGGGATTTCTGCTGTTTGCTGCTTTCCCCAATCCGCTGGTGACTACTGGAGTATAAGCAGGGGTGTGGCAGGCTGGCTCCTTCCTTTTGAGCTGGTTAACCACTGGGAGTCTTCACCACATTAGTGTGTGCCGTGCAGATGGGGTTGACTAGGGATAGCTTTCGGGAAACCTTGGTCTTGGCTATTTGATTGTGCACAGGTGTGGGACTCATTCCAAGCAATTTTCACCAATCTGCTTTGCACTAGGAGAGCTGAATAAAGCTGGCTGCATTTCTAGTTCCAGGCTTATCCTGCCTGACTTCAAAAGGACACCTGGCCAATCATCTACTCCCGCAGGAGGGCTTAGTCCCCACACTCACCATGAGCCAGTGCAGTTCTCTGTTCCACTGCTCCCCTCTGTGACTGCATCTTCCTGCTGAGGCCTTTGGGCTTGCCAACTCCCAACTTCACTCTGACCATGTGTCTCTGGATTCCAGTGGTGCTTTGCACACAGTGGGATCAGCTCTGGTGAGAGTACATCTGGCTACCGCTTTCTGTTTAAGTTTTTCTTTTCTTCACTTTAGCTTCTTCCTGGGTTGAGACGGTCCATTTCTTTCCTTCTAGTCTTCTCCAGAATGCTATATTCCAGCATCTGGGCTGTTTCTCTAGAGAAGCTTTTCACTTTGCTGCTTATTGTTCTGCCATCTTCCCAGAATCTCTATTTTATATTTTGTGTATCCATGGGTTGTTGAGGATTCCTACTATAATTGTGTTATTGCTAACTTGATTTTCAGGTCTATTAATATTTGTTACATAATTTGATGCTCCCATATTTGGTGCATATATATTTATAATTGCTATAGAGGTAACAATCTGGAAGGTTTTTCATGACAAGAATGTAGTCACCTTCATTATCCCTTCTGATCATCCTTGATTTTAAGTGGACATTGTCTGAAAACAGAATAGCTACCCCTGCTTTTTTCTGGTTTCTTCTCACATGTTTTCCATCCTTTGACTTTAAGTCTATGAATTTTATTTTGAGTTAGATGTATTTCTTGTATACAACATACTGTTGGACTTTTTGTGGTTCATTCTGCCAGTCTGTTTCTTTTGATTAAATTGAGGCCATTTATATTGGTGGGTATAAATGATATGTACAGGCTTTGTCATGTTATATTTCTGTTGTTAGTTCTCTACTTTTACCTCTATTTAATTGTTTGCCTGCTGACTGGTTTATTTGTTGTTATTCTTGGAATTGTGGTCATTTTTATCTTTGTCTAGAATATCTTTCAGTTATCTTTGTAGCATTGGTTGACTGGTCATGAAGTTCTTCAGGTGTTATTTGCTGTGTAAGTATCTTCTCTCTCCATTAATGTTGAAAGAAAGTTTTTCAGGGTACATTATCTGGGTTGGAAATTGTTTTCTTTCAGGATTTGAAATGCTTCACTTAAGTTCTTGATTCTAGGGTTTCCTTTGTAAAATCTTCTGTGACTGATACGCTTTCTTTTCTAGGTGATATTTCTTTTCTCTAAGGGCTTCTATTATTATATTACATTTATCATTTTTTTTAATCTGAGAGATTTCTGATCTGATTTTCTGATCTGAGCCTCATGGAGTTATTTCTTTATTTCTGTTGCTATCATTTCAGAAATTTCAGCTGTATAATTTCCAATTTCTTACATGTATAGGTTTCCAAGAGTTGTGGCTTGGGTGGAGGTCTGAGATTGCATTTTGTTCCTTCGTTTTGTCATTTTGCTGTATTCCTCTAATTCTTCCAGATACCAAGTCATGAATGCTTCCTGCACTGGTGGCCTCTCCCACAGTGGGCCTCACTGAGGATTGCACAAGGTTTCTGGTTGCCCCTTTGTCCCTGTAGGCCTCACTGAGGGTTGCTGGGTGTGGGGTGGGTCTCTGGGTGCAGCTTCCTGGGCCTGCTCATTGAGGGTCCCCAGATGTCTGCAGGGCTGCAGGTGCTGCATCCCAGTCCTTTGTTGCCATTTCCTGAGAGTGGGTCTCACTATGCAGTTCAGGTAGCCCTGAACTCTCAGTGATTCTCCTGCCAGAGCCTCCCAAGTGCTAGAATTATAGGTGAGTGTCAGCATGACTAGCTGAGATTTTTCTGTTTTTATTCTGTTTTGTCTTTTTGAGAGAATTTTGCCATGCCTCACATTCACAGTGATCCTCCTGCGTCAGCCTCCCCAGGGTTGGACTACAGATGTGAGCTACCATGCCCAACTCATATTTTAATGTTTTGCATTTAATTGGATTTTACTTAAAAGATATGTTGCTACAAATGATTACCATGTTAGATGGCACCAAATTTTAGATGATAAACTTGCCAGGAGTGGTGGCACATGCCTGTAATTTCAGCACGGAGGAGGCAGAGCAGGAGAGTGGTCACAAGTTCAAAGGTCATTCTGCGGTCATGGCCACTCTGGACTGCTTGGGAAGACCCAGTTAGAAGATGTTTCCTCAGCTTCTCACTGGCAGCTTTTGCTTTTCCTGGTCTGCTTGTTCCTCAATGCCTTAAAATGAGACTTTCACAGCTTTTCTTCCACCATCTGCTACCATAGTAAATTGAATTAACTGTACTCATGAAACTTGATATGTTTAACCTACCTTCTGCTGTAACTGGTAAAGAAATCTCCATGCAAGCAGCTGACTGTGCCTTTCGAAATGGTGGTCTTCCAGGAGCCCAGCGATTTACTTTTGAAACATCAGCACTAGAAAGACGTTTTCCAGAACTGCAACTTTGAGAAGTTGGACTTGTGCAGTGTCCATTTACATGGTCTGTACCAAGAAGAGGAAGGCAGCATAAATATTACAAATCTTCACTTAAGGAAATTCAAAAGTATAGATTAACATGTGAAGCAGAAGCACAAGTATTCTCTTTTTTCTAAATCATATGAATATGGGTAAATCCTTGTTATTTTGAGAAATAGTCACAGTTGCAGATTCAGTCAGAATTTTCAAAAAATATTTGTAATGTTAAATTATTTTTCTTGACTAATATAGTTTGAAATTTACTCCATAGCTGTACATGTATTATATAATTTAATGGCAATATGAAGTACGTTTAGTATTGGATATTTTGTTGCATAACTTAAATACACACTTTAAGTTTTGGAAATACTTTTAGTGGTTGAAGTCTAAAATATAAAATAGCAACATTTTATTATGCACTTAAGAATGGTAATTAAGAGTATTGGCTCTGAGCCAAACTGGGTTCAAATTACAATTCTGCCACTTACTAGTTGTACAAATTATGTAAGTCTTCATGCTTTTGTTTCTCCTTCCATAAATTTGGCATATTACCTACCTTATTGAGTTTTGTTATTTGTGTGTGTGTGTGTGTGTGTGTGTGTGTGTGTTTGCAATAATACATGTCATTTTCTATTAGAAAAGATGCTGGCATATGGTAGACAATGAATATAATTTTTCTGTCATTTTCATTCCAGAGCACAAAAGTACTATCCAAAAGAAAAATATTGTTCATTTACAGCTTGTGAGTGAACCTCTGTTTGGATATAACATTAAAAAGCTTTGATGGTAAAATGCTTGCCTAGTATTATGGGCTCTGGATCTTATCACCTAAAATTATACTTTATCCTTCTCTTTATTTTTCTTAAAAGCTAACAAATTGCATTTGAAATATTACATCAGTTTTGCAATACACAGAATGCATTTTGAAATGTGCTTCTCTAGTCATTCCAAGGACAACAGAGTACATGACAGAAGAATGCACAACAGAGTACATGAGAGAAGAATGCTTAACAGTCATGTTGAACATGTAGAACTGACATTCAGATCATACTCCATCACACTTATATTTTGAAAAATTAGAAAGGTTAAAATGATATCTGTCCTTGCTACTTATTATATTCTGGTCGGTTTTACTATTTTTTAAAAAATGAGTTGATAATTACCAAATATTTAAATGGTGGATATTTTATTTCATTTCATCTTATTCACCCTCTGAAAATGCAGGTGCTTTTATTATTTTCTTGATATTGCAGATGAGGAAACTGAATTTTAGAAAAAAATGACTTGGAAATTTTTCTTCTATCACCTGTGGTAACCAGGTAGGCAGGATTCTAGTCCAAGTTTTCTTACTGTATGATTAAACACTAGGACTTGGTCAGCTAAAATATTTGGGGATGGATAGCAATTTTGAAGAAATACTTAGGAGTAGTGTTTAGGAGGGTGATGCAATGCACACTGACATTCATGCCTTTTGGAACCAATCATCCTCCATTCTGACATAAATCCCAGAGCCCAGATGGAAAGACAGAAATAGCTCATGATGAGTTATCACCGGCACGCTGAGTCAAGGCTGTCCCTCCTCTGTCACACCAAGGACAACAGCTGCCGCTGACAACTTTAAGGGTACAAATTACAATACACCCACTCATCAGTCAAAAAAAAAGACACCCTTGGAAAAGACATATGTTTAAAGGCTTAGAGGTTTTTTAGGAGAAATGTGGGATTAATCTCAGACAGATTCAAAAGTGTATAGAAAGGCCCAAGAACAGTGAAATTTATCTTAGCCAGAACTGTTTGGATTTTCTAAACCAAAGCTACCGCACTACTCTCCAGCTGTTGATATCTTTGTTTGCTGTTTCATGTGCATGTTTTATTTCAGTTTATAGCAGTGGTATCAATGAACAGATTATTCATTATGACTTTCTAGTACATGTTTGCCATACATAATGAATACTTGCATTGTAAGAAGTTGATACATATGTATACTGCTTCTTAATCCTTTGTACCTCCCACTCCCCTTTTCCCCCCCATCCTTAGGCCCCCCTTCTCATCTTCCAAAAGTCTACGTCTCTGTTTCCTATCATCTATCGTGCTTTTATTTTTCTCCCCCACCTGTTGTAATAGACTAATTTCTTCTAGCTTTTCACATTTAACTCATAAGATCTTGTTGACATTATTACACATAGGTACCCCAGAATTCGGGCCATAGTCTTCTGATTTCAATAGGGCTTATATAATTAAAGGTTAAGAGGTGACTTTTATTTTTTTAAATCTTATTTAAAGACTAAAAAAAACCAGAAAATGGGTATAAATAATACATATGTTCAGAGAAAAAATAAACAGTAAGAAATCACTAGTTAATGTTTACATACTATCCTTTTACAAATAGTTGTTCAAGATACAAAACTGGAACATACAAAGTGAGAATTCAAACAGTAAGACTGCAAACAGTGCTGTTCAACTATCCAACAAAAACTTAGTAATATGGTTGTCAATCCTATACACTTAAACATACATGCAGTTGTCCATATCTTCATTTATGTTGGGATTAAACAAACTAAAGCAGGCTAAAGTCATTCTGAACAAAGAAGAATAGTATTGCTAGATTTGACATCATGACACTCCAGGATCAGCACTGGGTACTGTAGTGTATTTTGTTTTATTTAAAGAAAGACTAAACAAAACAGTAAATGGGTAGAAATAATACATACTTTCAAAGAAAAAATTAAACAGTAAGAAATCACTAGTTGATGATTACAGATTGTCCTCTTACAAATAGTTATTCAAGATACTAAAGTGGAGCATATAAAGTGGGGATTCAAACAGTGAGCTTGCAACCAGTTCTGTTCAACTATCCAACAAAAACTTAGAAATATGGTTACCAATCTTATACTTAAACATACATGCAGTTATCCAGATCTTCAATTATGTTGAGATTGAACAAACCCAAGCAGTTTCATATCACTCTGAACAAAGAATAGTACTATTGCTCAGTTTTACATTATGACCCTCCAGGATCAGCACTGGGTACTTTAGTGTCTCTTTTTCTTCAAAGTATCTGTTCATTTCATCATGTGTCATCAGTTCTTATAAACTGTTTATAGATTCTACACATACATGAGTGTTAACATGTATTTCTATCCTTTCTATATTAGAGGGAGAAACAAAACAAAGCAAGGCAAAACAAAACATATTCCTATAAATATATGAAACACAAAAGATATGTAAGACCGTTGTACAAATTCTACCACAGTTCCTGTGTTGTCTCTTGTTATCATCAATAGAATTGGCTATATCATCAGACATAGTATAATTGAATATATCAATACATAACAGTATCAATAAAAACAGAACTTTGTATATAGTATAAAACTTCAAAAGCAGGTAGTTATCAAACCAGAATGTGTATCGTAGAGTCTTGTCATCTTCAATGTAGTTGCCTATACTCTCAGACTTGATACTATTAATCATATCCGTTTTGAATAAAATCTGTCGATACTAAACAGCAATCAAACAAACCAGATAACTAAGATCAGTCATGATAAAACAGTATAAGTCATACAGGGCTCTAGAATAAGATAACAGGAAATCAAAGATGATTACTGTGATAAATCTTGATGTTTTTGGGATAGCTGTCTGTGCCCTCAAATCTAATGCAAGTAGACAAGTGGGACAGAATCAAATTTATCAAAAAAAGAGAATAAAATCTATCTAAGCAGAGTGGTGTGAGTACTGTGGGTTTTAAATCCTAACATAATGTTAATAATATCTTCTGCCATCTTTTTAAGACTCTCCCTTCCCTTTCACTTCCCCTGGGTACACTGTGCATTTCTGGGTCTCACCAAGACCCTTGGTTTTTAATTGGGGGGTGCAACCTGCTATTTACCTAAGTGGCTCCGAACCTTCTCTCTCCTGGACTTGATCTCTAATTGTATTCCTTTACCTATTAAAGCCTGTCTTTTCAACCTATCTACAAATACTGGTCTATTTGCCTCTATTACTCTGGTTCTCTATCACATGGAGCATTGTTTTCTCATATTTGATTTTCAGTCCATGTACTCTTTTTCATGTTAATTATATTTCCAATAAATAGCATCTCGGTAGCCCCTGCCTCCTGATCTACTCCACGTGTGGTTTTTTATTTTAATTTAGTGTATCAAAGCCATCTATATTAGAGATTATAACCAACCTTGTCTGCCTCATTTTTGTTACGCTCTTTTTTTGCCATCTGTTATCTGCTTATCTTCTTCATTCTGTTTTGTGCATCATTCATCGAGGCCTCTCTTTTCTTTCTCTCTAGAATACCCTGCAGCATTCTCTGTAGAGTTGGATTGGTGGTTGCGAATTTCCCAAGTTCCTCTGTCTTGGAAGCATCTTGTTTCTCCATTAATTTCTAGAGACAGTTTAGCAGGGTATGGCCATCTGGGTTGGAGGTGATTTTCTTTCAGGGCTTGGAATATTTTGCTCCAGGCTCTTCTTGACTTGATGGTTTGTGTCAAGAAGTCTGCCGTTATTCTGATGGGCCTTCCTTTATAGGTGATCTGTTTCTTGTCTCTAACAGCTTTTAATATTCTTTTCTTATATTGAATTTCTGGTATCTTGATTATTATATGCCTGGGTGTAGCTCTGCTTTGGTTGTAGGTGGCTAGACTTCTATATGCTTCATACATCAGAATATGATTTCCTTTTCCTATGTTTGGGAAGTCTTCCTTAATATTTCTGTGAATAGCCTTTGTAGTTCTTTGTTTGTACCCTGCTTCTTCATTTACATTCCTTATTCTCAAGTTATAGATCCTCTTGTCGTCTTCTAGCCTTTGTATTGTTACTGTTTTGTTCCTTGTTATGTTAAAGAAGTTTTTCCTTCATAATCCCACATTGCAAAACTGTCCTACAGTTTGGATAATCTATACTTAGTTTCTCTCAAGCAGATTTGCCATCTTTCCTTAGAGTTTTTAATTTCCTGGTGATCTCTTTGAATCTGCTTCATGTATTCTATATTTTGTTTATATTCTTCATCAAATGGTTCT